GCCGTTGGGAAGAAAACGAGGCTGGGGACTCCATGGATTTCCTGGGTAACTATGAGGAGCCGTGGGGAGGCGAGGAATTTTCACCGGTTCGGCGGAAACAGTTGGATTGCCCGCTATTCAGTGGGATAGATCCGGATGGCTGGTTGTTTAGGATGAACCAATATTTTTCCATCAACATGTTTTCTGAGAAAGAGAAGTTAATTACGGCGGGAATTGCCTTGGAAGCAGATGCATTATCGTGGTTCCAATGGCAGAATCAACGGCGACCTTTCATCACTTGGATCGACTTCAAGGTGGCTCTCTTACAACGCTTCCGTTTGTCATAGGAAGGGAACTTGTGTGAGCATTTTTTGGCGCTTAAGCAAACTGAAACGATGGCCGAGTATCGACGGAATTTTGAGGTATCTGCTGCCCCTTTACAAGAGGTACTGGAGGAAATCCTTTAAGGCATTTTTGTGAATGGATTGAGGGCTGACATCCGGGCTGAATTGCGTTTACTTAAGCCAGAGGGGCTCTTCGAAATCATGGACATGGCGCAGAGGATTGAAGAGAGAAATCTGTTGCTGCGAAGGGAGATGGGAGGGCCTCGGGTTTGGCGTCCTCTAGCGGTGGGGTTCACAGCCAATCCATCTGTGGGAGCCACAGTGAACTAGCCCCAAGGCAACCCTAATGTTGAGAGGCCGAGAAAGGATTTTCCGTTTCGAAAATTGTCCGATTCGGAGTGGCAAGAGAAGAGGAATAGGGGGCTTTGCTTTCGTTGTGACGAAAAGTTTTCGGTCGGGCATCGCTGTAAAAAAAGGGAGTTGCGAATTATGTTAGTTAGCGATGAGGATGACTGGGAAAACCAGGAAATTGAGTTGGAAGAGGCAAAGGGGGAGCCGGAAGAGTTGCTACAGACTGAGGTGATTGAGTTGTCGTTGAATTCCGTAATAGGGCTGACCACACCAAAGACCATGAAGATAAAGGGGGAGATTGGTCACCGTGAGGTAATTGTTTTAATCGATTCCGGCACTACGCACAATTTTATTTCCCTTACATTGGTTTCCGATTTATCATTGCCCATAATTCCTACAACCGGTTTTGGTGTCCAAACGGGCACGGGAGAGTCGGTACAAGGACAAGGATTATGTAAAGAAGTGGCGTTGACCATGCAAAACCTAACTATAATCGAAAACTTTTTGCCGCTGGAGTTGGGAGGAATATATGTGATTTTAGGAATGCAATGGCTTGAGACTTTGGGGAGTATGCATGTCAATTGGAAGACTCAAGTCATGAGATTCAAGGTGCATGGGAAAAGTGTAATGTTGAAAGGGGATGCTAGTCTTACGAGATCGTTAATTTCCCTTAAAGCCATGATGCGCACCATTCGTCATGAAGGCCAGGGAATTTACTTGGAGATGAGCCAATTGGGGGTGGAGCAAAACCTTGGCAATGTAGAGGAAGGCAATGAACAGCTCCGGTTGTTATTGCACAAACATGCGGCTGTTATGGACATGCCAGCCGGGTTACCCCCACACAGGGTGAGGGATCATCGCATAATCCTTGAGGAAGGCACTGGGCCGATTAGTGTTCGACCTTACCGGTACCCACATTTTCAAAAAAATGAAATCAAAAAGCTAGTAAAAGAGATGTTGGCGGCTGGAATCATACAACCAAGTGCGAGTCCTTTCTTCAGCCCGGTCTTGTTGGTTAAGAAGAAGGATGGCAGTTGGAGGTTTTGTGTGGATTATCGGGCGCTAAACAAAGCCACGGTCCCGGATAAATTTCCAATTCCGGTGATTGAGGAGTTGCTAGACGAGTTGTGTGGCGCCACCATTTTCACCAAGTTGGACTTGAAATCGGGTTATCACCAAATTCGCATGTGTGACGCGGACGTACCAAAGATTGCTTTTCGCACCCCCGAAGGACACTATGAGTTCCTCGTTATGTCTTTCGGATTGACAAATGCGCCGGCCACATTTCAATCCTTGATGAATGAGGTGTTAAAGCCATTCTTACGTCACTTTGTGTTGGTCTTCTTTGATGATATCTTGATTTACAGACGTTCTTGGGAGGACCATTTAGGACATTTGGATAGGGTCTTATCGGTCTTGCAAAACAACCAATTGTATGTTAACCAAAAGAAATGTCTCTTCGCACAGGAACGGCTAGAATACTTGGGGCATATTGTCTCTAAGGAGGGAGTTTCAGCGGATGCCAGCAAGATACAAGCCATGTTGGATTGGCCAACTCCGCGATCCATCAAGGAGTTACGGGGGTTCTTGGGCCTTACAGGATATTACCGTCGCTTTGTGGAAGGGTATGGACTCATTTCGTGGCCCTTGACGCAACAACTTAAGAAAGACGCTTTTCATTGGAATTCTGAGGCCGAGGATGCTTTTCAACGCTTAAAAAGGGCTATGACTGAGATTCCCGTGCTGGTTTTGCCGGATTTCTCTCAACCCTTTGTGTTGTAGTCTGACGCTTCGGGGTTTGGCATAGGAGCGGTCTTTCGGCCTGCGCTCGTGCCAAGTCGGTCTATGAGCGTGAATTGATGGCAATTGTGTTAGCCATTCAGAAGTGGCGGCCTTATTTGTTGGGAAGGTGTTTTGTGGTGCGCACTGATCAGAAAAGTTTGAAGTTTCCTTTGGAACATCATTTGGTGAGTGTGGAGGATCAAAGGTGGTTATGTAAATTGCTTGGCTATGATTTTGAGATTCAATATAAGCCGGGAACGGAAAATAAGGTGGCAGATGCCCTTTCGAGACAGCAGATGGGACTGGTTTTAATGGTCATGACTACTCCGATGGTGCTTGATATTGAGGAGTTGCAGCGGCAGGTTACATCGAACTCCGGGTTCAGCAAAATAGTGATGGCTGGAAATCCTTCTTTGACGGGGTATTCCCTTCATCGGGGGCATTTATTATACAAGGACAGGTTGGTCGTTCCTCAACAATCTCCTCTTATTCCAACCTTGTTACAGGAATTTCATAGTAGTAAGATTGGCGGCCATTCGGGGGTTCTCAAGACTTACAAGCGGTTGGCCAGGGAGTCTATTGGAAGGGGATGCGACGGGATGTTGAGTCTTTTGTGGCTGCCTGTGCCGTATGCCAGCAACACAAGTCGTCCACCTTGTCTCCAGCGGGTTTGCTGCAGCCTGTTAGGAACCCAAAAATTTCCATGGATTTCATTGAAGGTCTTCCCAAATCCGCCGGCCACAATTCAATTTTGGTTGTTGTTGACCGTTTTAGCAAGTATGGTCACTTCATTGGTCTTAAACATCCGTTTTCAACCAATATAGTGGCTGCTTCTTTTGTCCGCGACATAGTGCGTCTTCATGGTCGGAGTATAATTTCCGATCGTGACAAGGTTTTTATGAGCCATTTCTGGAAGGAGCTTTTCCAGTTGCAGGGTACCACTTTGTGTAGGAGTACGGCGTATCATCCGCAAACGGATGGGCAAACTGAGGTTGTCAACCGCTGTTTGGAGGCTTACTTGCGTTGTCTTGTTTCCTGCCACCCTCGGCAGTGGTTTACACACCTTCCGTGGGCAGAATATTGGTACAATACGAGCTTTCATGTTTCGGCTGCCATGACGCCTTTCAAGGCTCTCTATGGTCGAGATCCTCCGCGGTTGGTGCCTTATGAGGTTGGATCTACGGCTACATCAGAGTTGGAGCGGCAATTATGTGATTGCGACGCGCTTTTGGCTGAAATGAAGGACCATTTGGGCCGCGCTCAACAGTCCATGAGGGACCATGCCAACAAGAAATGCCGTTCGGTGACTTTTGAGGTTGGAGATATGGTTTATTTGAAACTTTAGCTGTACCGTCATCGTGCGCTGGCTCGGGTAGTAAATGAAAAGCTTGCGCCTCGCTATTATGGTCCGTTTCAGGTCCTTGCTCGAGTTGGTCCCGTGGCGTACAGGCTGCAACTTCCCTCTCATGCTTGGATTCACCCAGTCTTCCATGTTTCGCGATTGAAGAAGGCTCTTGGCTCGGTGGATATTCCTCAATCTTTACCTTCCAATTTGTTGGAGGATTTGACGTTGCAGGTTGAACCGGACCAGGTTCTGGATACACGTTTCTCCCCTGTCACTGGTTCTTTGGAGGTTTTGATCAAATGGCGCCATCTTCCAGGCTTTGAGTCTTCCTGGGTGCTGTTTGAGGATATGCAGCGCTAGTTTCCTGCCTTCCACCTTGAGGACAATGTGACTTTTTTGAGGGGGGTGTAATTGATAAGCCCTTACTCAGGCAAGTGTACATTAGGAGGAATAAAGGCTTAGGAAGGGGTGGGGTCTGGTCAGGATGAAGTTGTTTTTAGCTTACAGTGGGAACTTGTAGTATTAGTAGTTTACTTACTTAGAAAGTTGGTGAGAGGGGAATGTGTGAGGAATGTATAAAAGGGGAGGGGTGAGGAATAGAAAATGGGATCGGGAATAATCAGGGAATTGTACAAATCTTGGAAACGTTCCAAGAAAGGGGAAGTAGCAGACCCTCGAAGATCTGTGGGCTGGTGTACATGTCCTGTTGCTAATAAAATTCTTCAATTGATTCTTTCTTTTCTTCTCTCGATTCTTTCCATTTGTCCCTATCTAGATTTTGTCTCCAAGTTCGGTTAAGCTCTTATCACAATCCTGTTTTGATTACTACAGTTCCCTCCATATCCAAAAAAATTTACCAGTAAAAGAATCCTCTTGGAAAGTTTGATTATCACAGATTAGTAATGTGAGATTCAGATACCAAAACCTGTTACATTGAAATTCACCTTTACCCTCGCCTGTGATACGTTTTATTTATTTATTTTTTGTAATCAATGTAACCATAAATGTGAGACTCGGATACCAAAGCCTGTTACATTGAAATTCACCCTTACCCTGGATGGATCTGTCGCCCGTGCCCTTTTTTTTATTTTTATCTAATCAATGTAACCATAAATGTGTATTCTGCAGTACACTTATAAAAGTAACCATAAATGTGTATTCTGCAGTACACTTATAAAAGTAACCATAAATGTGTATTCTGCAGTACACCTTCCAACCAAAGCATCAACAGGGTAAAACCAGATAGGAAGCCAAAACTTAAGAGCTGCATTAGAATGAAGAAAAATAGACCTACAATTTGTACCAAAACTTTTCTCCTCAAGATGTAATCAAGTTTTGAGTAACAGCTCTCCAAACAATTTTCAACATTGGATATACCTTTTATATGTGTAGATAGAATAATTTGAACAGTTTAAGCATCCAATACGTATGTGTAGAAAATCAGGACTTAGATAGAAAGATCCCTAGATTATAGGAGTAGACGTATCTATAGGAATTAGTTACAGTTGTTTAGATTTTATATTCT